TTCAGCTAGGCGCGGTTGTCGGGTGACGCACACGCGTGAACTTTAAGGGCTGTTCAGCTAGGCGCGGTTGTCGGGTGACGCACACGCGTGAGCTTTGAGATTTGTGGATTGCCGAGCTAATTGTGTCATTGTTCGCTCGCTTGCGCCTTGTTTATGAATGTGAGAACAGACCGGAGTCTGGGTTCGCTTTCATTTTGTTGTGACACCTCCAGTAAGAGGTTTCGATGATAACGCTGTCTCGCTGGGGTCGTTGGACAAGGATAGTCATACAGTTGTTGCCTTGTTGCTGATTCTGTCCTTAATCTGCTGACCGGGTATTTTGTGCACCATACGATATTTCTTGTTGAAGTTAACTCATTTAACCAGGTTGTGTAGCTGTCTGTTCGTTTCGGGGTGGCTCCAATCTCCCCAGTTGGGCTTCAGCCTCTCCAGTTTGGGATCCAGCCCCTTCCTCGCCAACTTCGAGAAGAAAGTTGGCAAAATCCGGGATAAACATGTGTGTTGGTGTATCCTGGCACTATTTTAAGTCAATTTTCGGTGTTCAGCCGGCAAACTCATTTGGAAACATTACGTCCCTGAAGTTGAAATGATCGTGTTATATATTTTTATGCAACACCAGAGCTTGGAATCCCCTTAAGCAGCCGATTACTGGACGTTCGCTGTCGGCTCCATCATTGATTTATTTGTCAGGCCATGCTGAGTTCAAAAACTGGATGACAAGCATACATTATCGATAGGTTCATTGTTCATATTGTATCGCCGTTTTAACGACAAAACATTCGGATTGTGTGAACTGTGTTTTGAGGTGAAATACATTCATCGCGTGTCATGAGATGACTTTGATGAATATTCTCCCTTTCCGCATATTTCCCGTTACCCATCAGTACATATGTGCGGATGTAAAGTGGAGGCCACGGGACGTTAGACGTAAGCAGAACGACATCAATATTGTTTGACGACAGTGACAAGAAGACGCGTCATTTCTCGATACTCACCCTGAATGGAACAAACCAGGCTGGTGGCGCCGGTTGTAGCTCGGTATGCCGATGTGCCGCCATCAGGACAAGCACGGCGTGTTAAGTTTGGCACAGTACAAACGAACTGCTCTTTCCTTCTGCACTCTGCTAGGATTCTCTGCTGCCTCATGTTTTTCCCCTCACCATTCCCACCTCTCTCATTCCTCTCTATTCTCTCTCATCTCGACTCTCTCTCTCTATCTCTCTCTCTCTCTCTCTCTCTCTCTCTCTCTCTCTCTCTCTCTCTCTCTCTCTCTCACTCTCTCTCTCTCTCTCTCCTCTCTCTCTATCTCTCTCTCTCTCTCTCTCTCTCTCCTCTCTCTCTCTCTCTCTCTCTCTTCTCTCTCTCTCTCCTCTCTCTCTCTCTTCTCTCTCTCATCCTCCCCCTCTCTCTCTCTCTTGCGCGGAGGACGTGTTTTGTGGTCGTCACCCGCGTATAAGTATGCACCCAAGGCTACGCTCTGGGCTCGAATTCCATCAACAGTTTACGGCTGCGAAGTATTCATTAGCTCTAAAACACACAGTCCCACTCTTTGCCTTCCAAGAGTCGGCTTCACAGGTTTACTGCGGCTTCAATAGCGACAATGCACTGCTCCATTCACCACCGATAGGACGGCCTTCGGCGCCAGGTCGGCAGATGGGTAGCAGGAGGCAGTGCTCCCTCGTCCCGATGCTAAACACGGGGCGTGGGCGACGGGATGGGCGGATGATCTGCCGACCACGTGACGTCACCGCACGCGAGCCCGGCCTCCTGGCGGCGACGCGGTCGGCCCTGGTCGGCAGTCACACACGGCGACGGCGACCGCCGAGCGCGTGCCGAGGTGGAGACAAGCTGGCTGACTAACCCAGAAGAGCAGCAACCAGCGGTCAGTGGGTACGAGGGCCGTACTAGCGGCTCCTTCAAAGAAAGCAGGACAGTAAAGGAGCACCGAAGAGGCGACGCCAGAGGAGCATCGGTATAACCAATACCCTACAAAGGAGCAAGCAGTACCAGGAAAACATAATCGAAAGAAAATTGCTAGGGTGCTGCTGACGACTGGAGCCAAGGAAGCGGTCTTTTACGCCGACTTTGCGTCCAGGTGGGCGTACAGTTACAGTTACAGCTACAGTGGACCACCAGGTGGCACATGACCGTGGCGAGCGTTCTGCAGCGCGCCACATTCCTGGAATCGGCCGATCGCCAGACCTTATGCAGCGCAGTACACGTAGGCTGAGCACCTAGCGGCGGCCGAGCGGACAGACGGACCGGTTGGGGGGCGGCGCGGCGGCGGCCGGGCGCGAGCTGACGCCGGCGACCGGGCCGAGGCCGTAGCGAGGCCGCCCGCCGCCGCCCACGGCGTCCCGAACACCTGTCAACAGTGCAGTGCAAGCGCGACCGAGGCGCAGCGAGGTGCGACCGGGGACCGCTGCGGTGACTTGTGATTGGGCACTGCTGCCAGCCGTCGGCGGGGTGAGCACGCAGCGTCGGTGCCATGTCGACACGCGCCATGCGGGCTCCCGTGAGCTACGGTCCGCAGGCGGGCAGGGCGTCGGCGTCGGCGGTCGCCGGTCGCAGGTCGGCCGAGGCGGCCTCAGCCAGGCGGCGTTCGGCGGAGGTGCCCGCCAAACCGGCGCACGACGCACTGGACGACGACGACCACCACGAGCACGCCGCCAGCTGTCCGATGCACGATCGCAAGAGAGGGCGCGAGCCCACCGCCTCCAGCGGATTCAAGATTCGCGTGACGAGCGTGCCAAATGAGACGGGGCCGGCTGAGGGTGACGCCGCCACCGGCCGAGCGCGGCCTGGTGCTCGGCGCAGCCCGCGGGCCCAGGTCAAGCCCGCCGCCAGCGCGAGCAGGACCGTCACGGCGTCCGCGGTGACGAGGGGCCGGTCCACCCCCGGCGGGGCGAGCGTGTCTGAGCCGGCAAAAGTCGCGGCGAAACAAAACACCGCTGCAAATGGTGTGCCAGGCAGGAAAGCCGCCGTCGCTCAGGGATCCAGGATTCCCAAGGCGCGAGGTACGGGTAAATCGACGCGGACAGGCAAGGATTCAAAGGCAGGTGGAACAGAGGGGGTGGTTAGCGATTATCAAACAAAAGGGAAAGGCCGCACAGAGGAAGACCGCAAATCGCCCCATTCGCGCCCCAGCGAAATAGGTGCATCGGGACGCACCAAAAGACCAGCAAGACGCTCCAGCGAGAACGTATCAAGCGATGACCTGTCAGCAGAAGAGACCTGGCGCACGGGTGATGGTGACACCGGGGAGCTCGGTATCGGAGGTATCTCCCGCAGCGAGAGGGACGCCTACTCCCGTCGTCCGACGGCGCCCAAGGAGCACCCCGCTGAGCTGACGTCACTCTACAACCAAATTGATGCCAGTGACAAGGGTACGAAGAATCGCAAGTACGGGAAGGATAAACCAGATGCGCTCAAACGTGACGGCAGCGGAGGGATGAGCGATTTGATGGACCTTGCCCAAGGCTTCGATGCAGGCAGATCAAATAAGTCGAAATCTCCCGAATCAGGCTCGGCTGTCGTTCCAAGAAAGCGTGAGCTCGACAAATTTCTCGATGAAATGGACTTTGACAAGTCGTATGGTGGACCGCGAGAGAAGGCGACCGGTGTGGGGGCGGAGAAAACTGTGGATTACAAAAACATGTGGCGCACGGGGGATGGAGATGAAGAGCTAATGAATGACCTTCGCAATAAGCCACGTGATCGGAATGACCGCTCCTTGTCCCCAGACTGGGACATTGCCGATCTTGTCATGAAGAAAGATTCAGAGGCCAACGTAGATGGCACGCATTCCAAAGGGAGCAGCAACAGGGCGTCATCGGGCGAAGAATCAAGTGATGAACGCGACCGTGATACATCAGCCCCTAAGGCGAAATCCCAACGTTCCAAAGACAAACCAGCTAAAAAGAAACCAAGTGATTTCTCTGGTTTTGATGACTTTTTGAGCTCCTCCTTATCTGCGGTACCAAAGTTGTCGGGTCGCAGCGCTCTGCGTGACGTAAGGCGCAAGCCGGATCGGCCAGCCGCTGACTCCGCTGCAAAACATGAAGTAGCCACGCCCCACCGGTCCGAGAGCCCGCTCCGCCCAGCAGCCGCAGCGCGCACCAGCACGGCCGCCCCGCCGCGCTCGCGTTCTCGGTCAGGCAGTGAGGGCAGGGGGGTTCCGGCGCAGCGGCCGGCGGCCGGCGGCCGACGGGCAGGCGCCCTGGAGGACCTGATCCAGCCGAGATCGGCGGCGTCGGCGGCGTCGACGGCGCCGCTTCGCAGGGACGCTCGCTCGCCGAAGGGACCGCCGCGATCTGGCGTGTCTGGCCGGCCGGCGGACGAGGCGGGGGCCGACCGCGGTTCGCCGCGGGACCAGCCTCGCTCCAGCCAGGGCGCGCGTCGCTGGCGGGCGGGCGATGATAGAGAGACAAGCCACTCCCCTTCACCCGATGGCGGAGGAGATCATCATAAGCGTGGACACGCAGACAGCAAGCAGAAGCCAGGCGTCCGGGAGTCACATGCGGACCAGAAGCAGCTAACGCAAACTCGGAAGGAAAATAATGCACAGAGGAGACACCAAGACCACATGGTGGAATCGACGGATCGGCAAAATCGGTCAGCTGCACGAAAGCGTAGATCCTCCAGCCCATCTCCCAATGGGAAAGAGACGCACGAGAGATACCTTGATACATTCCCTGACCGAGGCTCCTCCGATACATCCCCGCCTCCCGGAGACAGGAGCCACAGAGGGAATAATGTGTCCAGTTCCGCACAGCCTCAGCGGCGTCATCCCCGTTCCCCCGAGCAGAAACACCGGTGGCACAAAAGCCCGGAGACGCTGGCTGGAGACCGATCTCGCACACCAGATAAGCCGCGACCGGGGCACGCTGACCTGAAGACACGCACGCCCTCGCCGGGTAAGCCACGGCCGGCTTACGCCGGTCCCAAGACCCGGAGTCAGAACCGCGTGCGTACACCGTCCCCAGGAAAGGATCGGGCACTTCACAACGGTGCGAAGATCCGGCCGGAATACCGAACCCACACACCATCTCCGGAGAGGGAGAGCCCTGGCCACAGCGGTCCGACCACCCGGAGCCAGCGCACACGCACGCCATCCCCGGAGAAGACCTCGGAGAGTCACGAGAACCCCAGCTCGCTGTTCTCGCCAGCACGACCGACGTTCGGGGATCGCAAGACTCCTTCTTCCGAGCACAGCCGCCGCCACGAGACGCCGTCGAGCGGAGGGAAGAGCAAGAGGAGGAGCCTGTCTCTGGCCGGCATGTCGAATCCGGACAGAGATGAGGATGAGGGGGGCACGCTCAGGTCAGTGCTGCTTTTGCCATCTGTGTTCAATAGTCGTCATTTTGACAGAGATGAGGATGACGGGGCCACGCTCAGGTCAGTGCTGCTCTTGCCATCTGTGTTCAATAGTCGTCATTTTGACAGAGATGAGGATGACGGGGCCATGCTCAGGTCAGTGCTGCTCTTGCCATCTGTGTTCGATGAGCGCAATTTTAATGTAAGGTTCTACGTAGCGCGAATATACATTGACACGCTTTTGTAATAATCTAGGCCATTGCTTCGGGATCATGACCCATGGTGCAATGATAAAATGTGTATTATAAAAGCAGGATCTACTGCACTAAATCACTTATTCCTAATGTCGCAATTTCGCTTTGAAAAGTCTAAGGTCTAAGCTAGCTGGCCGGGCTGTAAACAGCTTGGGCGGCCCTCTGTAAAATTCAGGCGCCACCAGCGCGCCGGCTGCTCGTCAATCATTCAAGAGACGTCCGAAAGCTGCCGCAACCAACGCGACGCCATGTGTTGCTAGGCCTCCTCAGCACTGAGTGCAAGATGCAGTTCTTATCATACGCCCCAGAGTTTGTTGAGAATTCCACTGGACTCAAAGACGTGAAAGATATAACGTGTTGGAACATGGGCTTTAAACCGCTAGACAGCGGTGTGGTTCCACAAAATGAGTTCGTGGGCGGGCAGAACCGTCAAATATGACGAAATCTTCCCTCAAAGTATGCCAAAAGTAGGTTTCTCCCCAAATTTGGCACACTTTCTCCTCAAAGTGACGGGGTTGGAGCTAAATTGTGGGGGCTAAAGCCCCCCCCCCCCCATCTGAATGGAAACTACACCCCTGCTTAGACGAGATGCTTGCCACAAGATTTGTCACGAAGTTTATATGCAAGAGCTTTGCACACCAGAGGATGAGATCAACCAGAGCTTTGGAATGGTGTCGTGTTCTGTGTCTCTGTCTCATTTTGTCCGCAAACCCTCAATAATTTCACATTTCAAGTTGAGTCCTATGGTGACGCAAGAACATCACCTGAAAACGTCAAAAATCGCTGCGCACCCCCATGATATCTGAAGACACATCAGCTATGAAATCTTGCTGAACAATTTTTCGTGATAAGCAGAACACCCGGAGGAAGGCTTGTACGAAACCTCTATACGCCAAGGAGAAAGGCTGATTTCTAGAGGACGAAAAGATGTGTTCTGCACCCGAATCAGACGCATTTAAGCGCTCACATTTCGACACATTCGGAAATCTGATGTAATCTAGTATGACTCGCGGACCCGTGCTCTAAAAAAGTTATTAGTGGTGGAACATAACGGTAAAGCAAAACATGTCATCAAAACCTCCAATATAATTTGTCAGGCTTGAGTTGCTCTCGGTGTCTGGTTCAATGTCCACGTAAGTTGAAATGCGTCTTCAATATGTCGTACTAAGATATGATTCCATCTCCCTCAGACGCCTCATCATGGCCATGAGACACTAGAGAAGCGACTGATCTCCCCGTCACCCGAGCCGCAGAAGTGCACCGAATATGATCAGGTAAGCACCCGAGAGAAGCAGCTGATCTCCCCGTCACCCGAGCCGCAGAAGTGCGCCGAATATGATCAGGTAAGCACCCGAGAGAAGCAGCTGATCTCCCCGTTACCCGAGCCGCAGAAGTGCGCCGAATATGATCAGGTAAGCACCCGAGAGAAGCAGCTGATCTCCACGTCACCCGAGCCGCAGAAGTACGCCGAAATGATCAGGTAAGCACCCGAGCGCACCGAGCCGCAGAAGTGCGCCGAATATGATCAGGTAACACCCCGAGAGAGACAGCGATCTCCCGTCACCCGAGCCGCAGAAGTACGCCGAATATGATCAGGTAAGCACCCGAGCGTCACCCGAGCCGCAGAAGTGCGCCAAATATGATCAGGTAGGCGCCCGAGAGAAGCAGCTGATCTCCCCGTCACCCGAGCCGCAGAAGTTCCCGAATATGATCAGGTAAGCACCCGAGAGAAGCAGCTGATCTCCCCGTCACCCGAGCCGCAGAAGTGCACCGAATATGATCAGGCAAGCACCCGAGAGAAGCAGCTGGTCTACCCGTCACCCGAACCGCAGAAGTTCACCGAATATGATCAGGTAAGCACCCGAGAGAAGCAGCTGATCTCCCCGTCACCCGAGCCGCAGAAGTTCACCGAATATGATCAGGTAAGCACCCGAGAGAAGCAGCTGATCTCCCCGTCACCCGAGCCGCAGAAGTACGCCGAATATGATCAGGTAAGCACCCGAGCGTCACCCGAGCCGCAGAAGTGCGCCGAATATGATCAGGTAAGGACCCGAGAGAAGCAGCTGATCTCCCCGTCACCCGAGCCGCAGAAGTACGCCGAATATGATCAGGTAAGCACCCGAGCGTCACCCGAGCCGCAGAAGTACGCCGAATATGATCAGGTAAGCACCCGAGCGTCACCCGAGCCGCAGAAGTACGCCGAATATGATCAGGTAAGCACCCGAGCGTCACCCGAGCCGCAGAAGTGCGCGCGAATATGATCAGGTAAGCACCCGAGCGTCACCCGAGCCGCAGAAGTACGCCGAATATGATCAGGTAAGCACCCGAGCGTCACCCGAGCCGCAGAAGTACGCCGAATATGATCAGGTAAGCACCCGAGCAATGGTGGACTGTCACGGCGCGGACTTTGTTTTCGGCAAAAGTTATTTGTTCAATCTACTTACAGTGTAGGGTTGTGGGGTCAGGCTGTTAGCAACAGGATATGCCTAGTGTTGGGTGACAATCAAATATTGTTCCAATGAGAGTGCCCCCGCCCCTCCCCAATATCCTCAAAGGGCGCTTTGGATTTGTTGAGGCATCATCCAAAATTCCTCCCAAAACATCTCTGACACGCGATGGGGTGGGCGGGGACAATCATTCCTCAGAAGTCACGTTAAAATTTCCTCCTGACCTGGGAGAAGGAACTTTACTTGAGAAACCCGAGAATACGGCTGCAAATTGATTTAGGTTCATGACTGGATAAAAGTCCAAATTTTTATTGACGCCTACAAATCTTGAAAGCGTCCCCCCACAATATTACTGAACAAGAAACGACTTTATATCGTGACGAGTTGAACGATAGTTGCCTTTATGTCCTGACGAGTTGAACAAGAAATGCCTTTATATCGTGGCGAGTTGAACAAGAGATGCCTTCATATCGTGACGAGTTGAACAAAAGATGCCTTTATATCGTGAGGAGTAGGACTGAACAAGGGATTTTATATCGTGATGAGCAGGCATGTGAATGCAGAATTCCGCGAGACCTTCCAAAGCAGTTCGGATGTCGCTCGAATGTAGAAATATTATAAAACTGAGGCTCCCGAATTAATGGTTTAGAACATGTATGCATAACTGTTATGATGGTGCAGAGGTGAGCCTGTTCCCAAATAGCGTGCGCTTATGACGCGCGGTATTGAGATCTTTCTTGAATATTCCACAGGAAAGTAGACATCGCCTGATTCCTGTAACAATGCCACCTATACGTTGCATTAAACCACATGAAGAAGCCCCGGGTCATTTCGGGCGTTGCAGTCACCGAAGACACCACGCCACAGTAGAAAGCATCTAGCATCACTCAAAACAACTACTTCATTGGCTCGCAGCTGTAGTTTGGAAGCATTTTGCTACTCCAAACTCGCGCCATAAAAGCTGGCTTCCCGTAATCAATGCACATCAATGCTCTTTCAATCGTTCTGCTTCCGTGAGAAAATGCTATGGGTAGCATTGATTCCGCTTTATAGCCTGTTACAGTGCTATAAAGCGAAATTAATGCATATGGATAAGTACACATTATGCTTAAACACTACAGCAAAAAAGTAAAGAAAAATGTTTTTACAGAATGTATACATTAGGCCTACACATTATGTAAAAGCACTTCTCTTGGCCTTTTTGCTCGTTGGCAGTTCAAGAAGCATCAAAACAACAATGTATTGATTTTTTGGCGTAGGCCTATCCAAACGGTTCCAGCGAACAACGGTTGGGGAAAAGCTGTATCAATATGCACGCACATTGTTTACTCTTTTATCGTAGTCAGCTACGTTGGCCTTCAAATAATGGCCACTTTTTTGCCTGTATAAGCGATGCGACCATGATGATTTGTCAAAATTGCGCCTCGTTCAATAAATGATATAAAAAGGCACACTAGTTTTTTATCAGTCCAGATCATTTATGGTACCTTTAATATTTTGACAAAGCTGTTAACTGTTGCCTAAGCTGTTCATATATATATATATATATATATATATATATATATATATATATATATATATATATATATATTCTTTTTCAGCGAAACCTGTCCGATTTATTTCCAAGTATCAGTAATCTGGACCATGATAATTATGGACGTGACAAGCCAGAGTGCACCCTTGTGCAAAACACATTTTGCACATATTTTGTACAATGTATATGGTTTGTTTTTGGTATGAAGTGCTTTTGAGGGAGCAACGATGCCAGTATACCAATCCTCTTTTACTTCCTGAGCCTTATATAACACGACAGTTTTGCCCCACACCCTCTTTAGGCCAACAAACCTCACATCACACACCGAGCAGTCCATTGATCTACCGCGGAGTGATACGGAATAATCCACAGCCGGCTTTTTTCTCTTTCTATGGTTGATCAAGAGCTTGCCGAATGAGTGTAAACAGACATTTCCTGTTCCCTCAGTACTAAATATAAACTCGGATGCATTACAATGAACACCAGATTTCACGTTGCTCAATTTACAATCAATGGTCTGATCATACGTTTCAGAAGCGTGTCATTGATACTTGCGTCCATAGATGCCACAGTTTTTCCCCACATTTCCATGGCCGCCCAAAGCTGTTTTTTTTATTTTTGCGTCTACCAGCCTGGTCTTTGGATATGCCCCTTACGTCGTCAGTGTGTCCCAAAAGCTGTTGGGCATTCTTCAGTATTTTTTAATGTTTAGCTGATGTCCCCAGTACGTGATTAATAGACAGACGCCGCTTATCTTCAGCAACCTTGATCTGTGCTTTGTTGTCGAAAAGCTGCCTGGGCTCAATTTGTTTGTCTCTTCTAATGATTTCACCCAATGAAGACGTCCCATTTTGAGACCTTGTTTTAAAATTGTGTTTATGACAAATACAGTCATATATATATATATATATATATATATATATATATATATATATATATATATATATATATATATATATACATACATGCATATAGATGTACATATTGATGTAAGGATACACACACATACACACACATACACACACGCACACACATACATGCACGCACGCACGCACGCACGTATATATATATATATATATATATATATATATATATATATATATATATATATATATAATACGGGGATCTTTTCCTACCACAGAAGTCATACAGACTCATCTTCTCTCCTCATAAAGCGCAGCACAAATCTCTGCGTGGAAGGCTTGAGTCATGTCAATGTAGTGTAAAGGTAAGTCACAAACACAACTTTGCTGCCCGTTCAATGGGCTACAAAGGCCTCACCGTAACAACTGTGAACAGGAGGCTAGGGTTACGCCTGCAAAACGGCGCCATTTATCATCATTGAAAAAAATACTGACAAACTAGCTGTATCACAAGGCTTACTGGTTTGTAACATTGCAATTTCGTCAGCGGCAGCGAAAAAAGCTGCAAGCAGTGCTGAACTGGGAGCACTGCACCAGCGCTCAATGTCGAGGGCCAGACAAACAGGAGATTAGCGCTAGATGACGTGCTTTGAGACTTTGGCTTCAACCTGCATTATTTTCGTTGCGTATGCCTCAGCCATATGACCTTTCTCAGAACATGCCTCAGAACTGTTGCGTATGCCTCAGCCATATGACCTTTCTGGATGTCGCTGAAGATGCCCACATCTTGTAGGTAGTCGTGCGTTGCCTTGAAGTGTTCCACATTTGTATGGGGTTTTGATCTGAAAAAGCTATTTTAAAGATCATCAAGCAGATCTTGTACATTTATCGTTCATGTTTGAACAACAATTATTTTGTTTTATTTGTTGCCTTAGGCTGAGTTTAATGATGGCTAAATCGTAGCAAATACAGGAGTCGAACGTTCGAATTACCTGTGTTGTTAAGCGTAAGAACGTTTCCGCTGCTTTCAGTCCTAGGTGATGGAGGACACCATTTACGAACATCAAGCTAACGTATGGCCTGTTCTCAGAAATACTGAGATTACAGAAAAAGTAATCAATGCGGAACAAGCCATGCTATTAAATCAACAGTATATATATATATATATGTATATATATATATATATATATATATATATATATATATATATATATATGGGTGTGGTTATGGGTGTGTGGGTGTGTCAAAGTTAGTAGTCTTTTCTTGTAGACATTGTTAAATACCAGGACGTATTACGTTGCAATTAATGTTTTCTGGGTAACACTCGATCGATCTTATATTTTGCTTGACTTGGCTCAACAGGTTAAAGATCAAGATACTATAAAATTGCTAAAATTTGTTGTTATATATTTTCCGTTAGAATATCGTTAATATCTACTTGCATCTTCGGCAGAAGCAAAAGAATGGCGTTCGGCACATCGCGCAGAAATATGATACAAGGTCTGAAAAAACACCCAACTAAAGCACGTGACACATTCTCATTCGCGGTAGATGTCCACCTACGATGTCAAAAAGTGCCAAATCCACCAGGTTCCTGGGGATGAATTATTTATGTCAAGATAGCTTACAGACCGCATTGGTGCTCACATTTCAAATACATGGACATGACCGTAATTCGATATATGTGCTTCACCAAATTAATGCATATCGCTTACAAGAATGTACTGTCTTCATTTAAAAAAGGCCTAAGATCCCAGCGCCAATGTTACCGCCTGGGGAGCCAAAGTCCATTTTGTTTACTTTGCGGTCAGTCCGTCGATCTTTTTTTGGCGCCCGATGGTGAAATGTCAACTCATGAAATAACACAAAGAAATAGTACAGCTCAGTCTAAAACAAGCAATATTCCCCTTTTCTCAGTTTTTGTAATCCTCGTTAGGTTAAAGTGGTACACGACTTCATTTGCTTATTGAGTGATGGAGCAGCCTAGATAAACCTAGGTTCTCGGCATGACCATAGCTACGCTTTTGGTGTCAGCGCGGTTGCCTGTGTCTCTGTCTGTTTGAGTTTGGGGTGCCCTCTTGCCAAGCTTTAGTCTCCCTGTATTGCGGTTTGGCCGCGGTGTTACTGTGTCTAGGCTGGGCCTCGCCTTTTCACGGGCTTGGGGACGTCCCTCTATCTGTATTTGAACCCCTCCCCCCCCCCCCCCCGCTACACTCCCCAGAGCCATTTGGGTTTGGAATATTGATCTACGTGGACGGAGAGCCACCCACCTGCGGGTTTGTGTAATGTGTACCATGGACTGAGGGGGCCGCCGTATGGACCTAGCTTGGGACGTCCCTTCTTCGGTGGGGGATATTCTCCTGATTTAGTTCGTGCCGTTCACCTTGACTTGGGCACGCCCTCTGTCGGCGCAGCGAGCTTGCTGATTTAGGCTCCATCTTCCCCGGCTTGAGGCAGCCTTCTATTTCGGATGGGGGAATCCCTTTGCTTAGAACTAGGTGGCAATTATCTGCCTGGCCCGGGGCTCTGATTTACACGGGCTTTCCTGTACTCAGGTCTGGAGCGCTTTCCTGTACCCAGTTTTGAAGCACCCCTCTACCAGGACTTTTTTGGCGACAATTTATCCAGGACTGGGCACCCGTTTGTCTAGGCTTGAGAAGCGTTTTGTCTACAATTAATGGTGCCTTTCTCTCAGTTGTGGGCTTCAACATACACATATGGGTTCATGGACTTCTACGAAGGCTTAGAGATACTTTATCGCCAGGGTTTCGCGGCCTCATTCCCTTGGCCTTCCTGGCGCCATTCTGTGGAATTTTCGTACAGGAGCCTGCCTTGGCCGAGAGGCACCCTATTTTTCCGGGGTAACGGGAGAGGCCAGACCCCGAAACCTACTGCATGAACATCTAGCAAAGCCTCGACCCCGAAAGCATTCCTACAAAGCGTTCGATGGATTTTATGAAGTAAACGTAAAGCATTTTTCTCGCTATGCTCTAAGGAGCTTTGACATCTAAGTGCAGCTTCCTTACATGCGCTTTGCAAGGCACACTTCGCCTGCTGTATCTGCCTGAGACACGGGCGAGCTTAACTGGGGTAATATGACTCTTCAGTTGGGTGCAGCACGTCAAGAGAAGCCCTGCGTGTCTTGTAAAATCCTCATTGCTAAATGAACGGGCGTGAGTGTATCCGCATTTCTTCTGTCTGACGCTCCAGCTTAACGATAGGAAATTGTGATGCGCGATTTACACACGGCCCTGTGCCGCCGGCCATGGTCGGCAGTGTTTTGTGACGGCCATGGTCGGCAGTGTTATGTGACGGCCATGGTCGGCAGTGTTATGTGACGGCCATGGTCGGCAGTGTTTTGTGACGGCTGCGTACATTGCACCGTTAACACATAAAATAGGCGAAAAAATGTTTCGCAGAAATCCTTCGAGCTTAACATGGGGAACACAAACTCAACGGCGACCGGCGAATGGTCCGACACGCGTGCACTCCATGAGCCACACCTCAACAACGACTGGTCGGAGCAACACAAAATTTACACAGAAAGTAGGAAATCGAATGGGCAACCGGTTGTTTGTAAGATTATCCCGCCACATGGAACGTGGCACGTGCACACGAGTTGGAAATATGTCACTGTTCGTTTCTGACATTTTTTCTATTTTGACCATATCTGGGTAAAGGAAGTGTCCCACATTTGCATGGGGTTTTGAACCGAAATAGTCATTTTGAAGACCTTTCGGCCCCGTTCACAGACCTGGTCTTTTTAAGACATAAACCGTTTTATTTCATGAGCTACACGCCCTCAAAAAATGGGGAGAGTATCTATGGAAAAGTATTTCAAGTTCACCTTGGCATTCATAATATGATAATAACGTCATTCAAATCCAGCCATTTCATAAGCCATGCGACGATGAAGGCTAAGGAAAATACAATGAGTCGTTTATTTCTTGCGTTCGTGGGCACAATTTCCAGCTAAAACGGCTGTCAATTGACTCTCAATCAATGTGGTGCATGATGCGATTACGTAATCAAGCAATGACGCATCGAGGAGGATATTTACTATACAGGGAAACTGCATTGTCTAAAGCAGCTTTCTAGGCTTAAAGGTGTACCAATAATTACAAGTGATTCATTGTGTCTAATGCTCTAATGCTTTGATATCTTCAAATGTGAAACACTCCCTTTAAACAGTGCAGGTAAAGGCATGAAAGGAATATCCCAACGTTGAAAAATGCAACCGCTGAAGTTTAACTTTACATCACAACCTTGCGCACGGCGCACGGTTGCGCTGCAAACTTCAAGGGAAGTTACAAACAACATAATTTGAAGCCATTGCCAAATGCAAAACGTTATCCTCAAACCCGGAAAATTTTGGCAGCAAAAATTACGCCGTTGTGTTCGTCGATTGATTTGTTCTCTTTACCTTCCTTTCATTGGCCGATTAGTTAAACATTTCGCTGCAAATTAACTAGACGTGAAGGGTTGCATTACCGGTTTTTACGCCGCGACGAAGAGCCACTCCCCATCTCCCGGGAGCCCGCGGCCTGTTTTCAAGGTCTAACGACGCAGGCTATCTATAATCCTGCCAACGGCGGTTGCGCACGCGACTGGCTGAAGTGCTTTACTGCCATAGAACCATTACACCATCTCGCATCGATTTATCGACAACGATGGCTCGAAGCGACCCGAGAGTGGCACCCTTTGATAGGTAAGTCAACGGGATACGGCGTGTTGGTAACTGTGATATCGCACGTGCCAGGTGTCACGCTTACATCGGCTGGCAAGATAGATTTTGACGACTTCGAAAAGTGATTTCACTGTCATCGTGCCATTACGCGATCCCGAATCAATATATCGACAACGACGGGGCGGAGTTGCCCGGGAGCGGCACGCTTCAGTCAGGAACTGAACGGGTAATCGCTCGGTATAAAGTGTGCGGGCGCACTTGTACGTGTCATGGGTGCGTGAGCCAGAAAAATGGATCTCGCCATTTTTCACCGTGTCCCGTTTTGTGCTACACCACAGCAGCTACAGCAGCTAGAGTCGTGAATCCGTCTGCGATGCATAGCTAACTCAAATTTTTACGTTTTTATATTAGCGCATGGAAGTAAGCGTGCAGGCGCTTGCGTGCATTCAGCTCAGCTAAAATCAGGAACTCATCGGGCTGAATGTAACATCCTACAGAGTGGCTATGACTGCCGTTCGGCTGGCTACGCCTTGAAGTCAATTCATGGTCCCATTAAGACATTATCGAATGTGCATTAATTTTTATTAATGCATAGGGGAATGCTTAATGCACTGTGTTTGCGTGTATTGGATGCTCTCCGTACTCCCACTGTGAAGAATATTGCTTTACTGCCACATTGCCCAGGTTCCTAGTAGAAAAACTAAAGGCTTCGAAACCCCTAGAGACCTCGCAGAAAAGCCAGGAGAATGGAGATATAGTTGGGTTGATATTTCGGCAACATGCCTTTATCGAAGCAATAGCAGAAGTCTACATCTCCATTTTAATTTTAACTTTTATTATTATCGTCGACTTGTCATTCAACTGTATCTCCATTCTCCTGGCTTTTCTCAGAGGATTAAAGCTAATACTTCTGTTTTATCTATGTGAATAATGTTTCCCGCTAATGCACTGAACAAATTACAACTAGGAGACCGCTGACATGATAACGCGTTTGTGCACGCGTATAAGCATCAAGTAATACTGAGGTGAACACACACAATTTTGCCTTGGTAGAACTGTCCCAACATGACTTGCAGCTCACGGAGGACTCATCGTGGCCTTATTAACAGGGGAACCACGGATTTCTATACTTTTAAGAGGGTCCTGTCCCCACGCTGACTTTGACCCCCACTGTTTTCTTGGGGGTCCGATGTTGTCTGCATACGTTAGGCATTCACATAAGCAATTCACATTCGCTGCCCATCAGTTGATGAACATGGCTACCTGCTATGCTGCTGATACCAAGTGTGTTTTGGGGTGTGGTGCGACAATGCAAAAGTAATACAGCTCATCAAAATCAAGGGGGCTTAATTCATGCATAGATCAACAATGTCAGTAGCTTAGGATGCCATGTTTGAATTCCCCCCCCCCCCCCCCCCAGTAATTTGCATAAGTCAATGCCCCTGGCTGAAGCACTGTGATGCCTCAATCAAAGTGTTGATACGAAGTGTGCACTTCTTGTTTTGCTCGCTACTCGCCACCTTTTAAAGGAGATGTACACGACGCACGTCGCCGCGGGAGCTTCACGGAACACCGGTGTCCGTAGTCGTTCCATTAGTCCCCAGGCATTCATACCCGGACCTCCACGCGAGGCAAGACTACGTTAATCACCTTCGCGTCGCCGCCGCAGGAGACCCCAACGCTGACCAGCTACACGTCACGGAAGGAGTACGAGCTGTGCCAGCCGAGGGGAGCACCGGCGACGCCTGCGACTGGCCCTAGCTGGCCCAGCGACAGTCATAAGCCGCGCGCCAGGCGCAGGCGTCTGCGCACCGCTTAACGGAGTCTGCGGGGGCGACACGCGACAGCATCAGCCACTGGAGGTGACGGTGGCGCCGCCTGGTGCTGCCTGGTGCGCCTCTGACAGAAGTGCCGCCGGACGGACCGAAGCGACCGGCCTGACGAATACTGCGCCGTCTGGACGCGGCAGGCCGTGACTCGAAATGGCGCCGTTAATTCATAGATGGCGCGGCTAGCGTCAGGCGAGCGGTGCGAGTAACCCACCACTAAATTCGCCGCTGTTCATACTTAAGAGAGCAGAAAAGAACACGTCTGGAATGTTTCACCCGTGGTGGCTCGGGCGTTGCTTATTTGACGATATATCGTATAAGTTGATATGGCCTGGCACCAGGTTTGTAGACGGCGTCAGCAAGTTAAGGGATGCAGCGAGCTACTTGCTATGTTCAGCGCATGCCAACATTAGCCCTAAGGCATTACATATGCAGAGAGGTGAGCGAGTCTTACCCATAACCTCCCCCGAGAGATTTTCCGTACCTTCCTTGCGGGATGGTAGGAAAGCATCGGTTTTTCTAACTGGAACGGGAAATGGTGCAGTCTCAGCATCTGAAAATGGATTTTTGAAAACTTGCGAGGGTGATCTGAAGGCTCTGTAACTTGCCATGAGTATGTTCTGCATACGACGCAGTTACTGCCCTTCGAGGTGGCTGTTTCATGGTGGAAGCCTTCTTGCTACAAACATGTGTCATGCATCGGGCATTGCTCACGTCCTGATGAGCACAGCATGCTTTTTTATTTATGGTGGTATGCAACTTGTTTATTGTGATATGGCACATCCAGGCACGTTCCACAGGGTGTTTTCATGAATCCTGGTGTCCACCCGCCCCGCGAGTCGTAAATGGACTCTGAAAATTGGCGAACTAAACCTGCCCTATCGATAAATCTGTATTAGGCATACGCCATAGCATGCAAACACGCGGCTGATGTTTACCTAAGTGCTGCTCGTGGTAAACAGCCGCACAGGCTATCACTGTGCTGGATGTTACGATGTGTGGTAGGGCACAGAAGTGACGCCCAAATAACATCGAGCTTTCTAATTCGCAGCTGTGATTGCTACTAAAATATATTTTCCTAACAACGCCACGAGTTGATAGACAAGGCGCACGACGGGCAACCACGAGCTAACGCCTGTGGGCAAGAAGCTCACATTTCGTGGTACTCTTGTTGAAAGGCCAAACACTATGATGTAATCTGCAGCAGACGCCAGCACCAAACATCTGCGCGTAGTGCGCCTCTAAGCCGATCTATCCTGCAAGGATCGGCCGAGGCCTCTCCTGTAGCCGCCGAGAGTGCAGATTCGCAGGGAAGCCGACCAGCCTGGCGCTACGCTTCGGGCGGGCCCATGCTTCGAGCCCAGTCCGGGGCGTTCCACGCCACGGCTTCACCGACTGCGGCCGTGAGGAACGCCTCCATCCCGCCCGAGGCGTTCCACGCCGCGGCTTCACCGACTGCGGCCGTGAGGAACGCCTCCATCCCGCCCGAGGCGTTCCACGCCGCGGCTTCACCGACTGCGGCCGTGAGGAACGCCTCCACCCCGCCCGAGGCGTTCCACGCCGCGGCTGCACCGGCTGCGGCCGTGAGGACATGCCAGCGTTAGGGGCGCCTGGTAAGTAGTCGCTCCGCACCATTCTTGGAACACCGTCCGCACGTTGTGAGTTTCGCGGGGCTCAAAGAGAAGATACTCCGCAATGTATAAAAAGAAGCTTCACCTGCTGGATCGCTGTCGTCATGGGGAAACGCCCTTAGTTCTCGGAGATAATTTATTTCAACATTGTCACGCCATGCTGCCCGCATGAGTGCTGTCTAAACGCATCACAATCTTGTTTAACAATCGACAACGTACCCTACAACATTGTATGCACTTATCGTTCAAGTCCTACGGAATAAGATGGCTACTCTAACAGGCCAAAAACACCAGCAGCCTTCGCCTGCGCGAGCGGACTATAGCCGCCCATCAGACGGCCGCGCCTTTTGCTGGCCGCAGCATTGCCAAATATGACCTCAGGGGCTTCATACCGATCAAAACCTGCGCCGTTGCAGGCGTGGGGTTTTACGTGTACGGGGGTTCAGAATGTTGTCCTGAATATTACATAGTACAAGATTGTTCCGGAGCCATGCATACTTTTCAATCACATGGTCATTTGCTTCCACCTTTAAATCAATGTATCATGTCCTGTGCTTCGTCACTATGAGCTGCACGTCATGGCAAAGCCATTAACATAAAACAAATATACATTATACGCAGGCTTACAAGAACATTTCTCTAATATTGAAACAAAGTGACGTAAAGTCGAACTCATTCCGTTTTGCGTAAATAAACCTCTTGTCCAGAATGTACAGTATTATACCATGCAGAACATCTTCCTTACATGTCCATCATTTACTAATTCGGTTATGACGGACTGGCGCACGCATCACACGCAGCCACGCAGTGAAAAGTGTCTGACCCTGCTTTACCTCATCGCCGACCTGGTGACCAGCGGCGAACGGTGCACCTCGCTGGCCAGCCGCCCAGCCGCGCCGGGGGACCGCCGGTCCAGCCGGTGTGACCCGACTCCCAGCAGGACACAGCCAGGGAGGGGCAAGGCGCCGGCTCTCGCCTCACGGGCGTTCTCAGGGGCCGCGAGAAGTCAGCTAAACACTAAACAGCCAAACGTCACAGACAGGGGAAACAATGGCTTTACAGCCGAAGGGTGAAGTCTCGTTGACGGCCGGAGCGCTGCCCGAGAGTCAGGTCCGGAGTCAGTCGACGTTGACGATGGTGGTGCTGACGGTGGAGATCTTGGCACGTGGCTCGTTGCCCTCGCGAAAGGTGGCCGTCAGCCGGTACCAGAAGGGCATGTCGTGGAAGTGGTAGGTCTGCTGGTGGTGCTCGATCAGGCCGCCGGCCACCAGGCGGCGCGCGTAGCGGACGGCGGCGCGCCTGCTGCCGGCCAGCCCCTGCAGCAGCAGCCAGTCCACCAGCTCCGTGCCCAGGAACACGTCGTGTAGGAGCTTCTGCTGCACCCTGCAACGGCCCGCGCGCCCCCGTCAACGGACGTCTCGCGGCGACATGTGTTGTGGGTGGAGCATCGCGACGGCGGTGGTCAGGTGGAGAAGCGCGACAAGCATAGATGCAGAAGAGCGATGCATCTCAGGCCCTAGGAATAAAATCAGCTTATTCGTCATCTATTTCCCTAAAATCTGACATTATTTGAAAGCTAGGTAGGAGCAAATCAGAGGTGTCAGGAAAGCATACATAAAATGTAACGTCAGTCCAAGAAGCACTGTGAAAGCAAAACCACACTGCCTACAACTGCCCGTTTGTCTTTCTCGCTCTTCGCTCGGCGATGACTGGTATACTGCGTTCATAGGAATACGTCGCCGAAATGTGCGCGAGTAGAATACATGCACAGCACGTGGGACATTCCCTTTCCAATAGCCAATGAGCCAGAAAGCGACCCAACGGTGCGCCAAAATGTACGCAATGCGCCAAATCGCACGGCTTTCTGCTCTTAGAAAACGACTACAGGTGAAAAAGAAAGCACGTGCGTGCAGCTTGCCGCTTACCTGCGATCGCGCACGATCTCCTGGATGCACTGCTCCAGGTAGAAGTCGATGAACTTCTGGCACACGTGGTCGTGATCGTCGCTCGGACGGGACGCCTTGCGCCGCAGGGCCGAGCCAAAGCAGGAGCCGCCGTACCGCAGACGCATCCACCTGCCGTCGCCAAGAAGGCCATTATGCTGGGCGGCTGACGGCACGAGCAAGGCTTGTGCACGGAAGCTGGCTTCTGCCGCCATCACAGTACCAAAGAGACGTGTGCTGTACGCTACCGTGCATAGTGTCACACTGACAAAGTCGTGACACTATTCTGCGACGGCGGCGCAGCGGTCGGACCCGGGGCATCGGCAGGGCGTGTGGGGAATCAGGGGCGGCTGCAGCAGTCAGACCCGGGGCGTCGGCAAAGTGCGTGAGCGCGGTTGCGGCAATCGGACCCGGGGTGTCAGCAGGGAGTGTGAGCACTGAGCACAGGCAGCGGCCGTGTATAGCGTGGTCGAGATCTATGCCGTGCATTTGAACGCAGCCCCATCCCGCAATGTGTACCCTGCTACCTCAATATTGAAACTGGGTGTCAATAAATATAATTTTGACGCCAACGGCAGACACCATAGTAGGTGCGGATTAGACAGTGACAATCAGGACGCTAGGGTAGTTGACAGCGGTGACAAGTGTAGCAGCGGCTGAAGGAGGAAGCAGACTCTTTAGCGCAAGATCGGTGGGTGGCCAGGGGACCGAAACAGTTATCGCCCCCCCCCCCCCCCTCCCAACTTGGTAACATTGAATAACGTCTCGTGGCCCGCACGGACATGTACGGAAGAATAATTGCCTTAGTAATAACAAATACTTTGCTGTTTAAAGGAACACAATCTAATAGACGCAGTACGCGCGTTGTTATGGTAGGAAACGTTGCAGAAAGGTTGCAGCACCATCTCGTGATGGGGCGGGAGTCGTTGTCACGACTTCGTGATAAACAAGGCGGAGCAAACAGCACAGTGCACCTCACACCGGACTGATTAATTGTGGTGTTTGACTGGCTGATTCGCATGCTGGAGAACCACTTCTGATCAACATGAGCAGAGGTGCCGTTTCGCCCTGCAGTTTTACGCCGAAACGTTGAGAGCCTATCGTGCTCTTTTGAAGCGCACCACGGTCACTGTTCTTTTGACCTTGCGAAGCCAAACAGGTAAACCGTGCACGATTTGCACTATGCACTACGGATTTTTTTTTAGTACGTGCATTATGTTAAATAGAAACACAAGCGTCCTCTTCCGTCTGTTGAACGGGACGGAACAGACATTACCTGAAAATAAATCCCGGGCGGCAAACACTTAACAAACGTATCAATTTACTTTCGGACTGTGGACCGAGCGCAACATGAAGCATATGAGTGCTGTAATCGCGCTTTTTCAACCGCACGTTTTCCAAGAATGTCGCGTGAACCCATCAAGAAGGCCATTGTTAAAGGCATGCCTAACCGGTGACAGATATTAGCCGATCTATAGATATCTTCATAACGCTCTTTCCACTCGTTTGCATTGTTTCAGAGCCAGAAGACCAATACATTGGTAATGCGTAGACCAATGCTACCGATAGTGTTGTGATTAAACGGCGTGTCTGGGAAACCAGAGACACGGGGGCTCGGTACCCCGTGGTGCCCGCTATCCCCGCCAGGGTGAGAGGCAGACGATGCCATATAGCCTCAACAGCTGAGTGAACCGTGAAGCCTCAATCACACACATCTCCCACATGGCTCATGAGAAGGTTACGTTCATGATATGATCTCCTAGGTTTTGCCTTCTTTTCAGCTGGTGCCCGCTAGACAACCTGGTGTGTCAAGGACAACCTGTCTCCGATCTCGGTGGGGCAAAGCAGTGCGGCAGCGTCCCAGTGCGGTGGTATGTGATGAGCACCACGCCGGCGATCAGGAGACACTGGATACGCACAGGGAGCAGTGCGACCCAGATGTGCTCACCTGCTGCGCAGTGGCATTAGGAAGGCCTCGGGGTCGAGACCGAGCACGAAGAAGGCGAGGACGCCCTGGCCAAAGTTGATGATGGTGTCGATGAACGTCAGCTGGATGTAGACTCCGCCCATCTTGCCCTCGCGCTGTACTGGCAGGCTGCACCCGCACAAGAACATACTCTGAAAGCCGGGGATTAGCGTTAGGCTGAAGCTAAGGCTGAGAGTAGGAATGCGAGCGACGAGAAAATGATGGGATCCGGCGATCTTGCTGACTCTGCTGTAATAGCGCATTTCACGAAGGCTTGCAACGGAACGATTTTCCGCAGCAAATTATAAACTGACGGGCACTTTCAAAGATTTTCACCCGAAATACAAGTCAGCTACAGCTCGTTCAGCTTATCTGACTTCACACGTGTCGGGACAACGCAATGAAAAGGGACGGTGAGAAGTGCCCTGAGACTGCTGGCAGCTGCCTGAACCCAGAACTCCATTCTTGTCCCGCGGCATACGCGGCCGGGTAGCGATGAGAGCTCGGCAGGCGCTACGTTTGTTTAGACCAGACCTGCGAGTGAGGGTGCCCAGGACCGAGCTCGGCCAAAGGCCAGCCACGGTATGACGCTCCGCTGCAGTGAAGGTACAAGGACGCAACGCTCTATGTCAGCACATGATACGGCGGGTGGGGATTGACACCATTTTTTGGCCGTGAGCGAGTGCTTACCGAAACCTGCCCAGCTATGTGCACTGTATAACTGTGTCCCGTATTACTGAAGGATTGCTTTAACCATTGGTAAACAAATCAGATGCGAGAGCCACTTTCGCAGTCTCAGTGCAGAGGTCCACCGTCAGGCGCAGTCTCAGTGCAGAGGTCCACCGTCAGGAGCCTTCACTCACCACGACCATAGACCAGGCGAGCGAGATGAGCAGCAGCGAGTGACGCAGAGTGTGGAACTCCTCGTCCCGGTCCCGAATGACGCTGGACGTGTCCGAGGAAATGCAGTCCTGCTCCGGACAGGACTTGGCCGCATCCATCGCAGAAGAGTCCGGATTGTACAGGCTGTAACATTGCAAGCATGCCATCTGAAGACTACAATGCGCGTGCGTGTCATCTGGCATCACCTGGTGTCACCTGCCACGCTCATCCCATCACCACTGGAGATCGCAATCTGAAAACTTAACGACATGTTTGTTGGTCCTGACAGTTCACTTCGTCATGACGCGTGCCTTCCGATTCGAGTGCCCGCTGCGGATTAAGCCACTTGGGGCCCTGGCTACATGCCCCCGACTGAATTGGCTCCTAGCCAGCTGCAGCGGCCGCGCTAGAGGTCAGATGACGTCAAAAGCTCGATTGACAGCGAGGATTGCGGAATGCTAAGCTTTTGACGCAAAATTCAGCAGATTTAGCCAGAATTTAACGATCGGGCGGCAGGGACGGGGCTCACGCAGCGAGCAGTGCTTAGCGTGGGCGGTGACCACAGAAATTCAAGCAATCAAAAGGCTCGGACAAGAGCTTCAATAACACAAGTATTCATCATCTGAGATCATCTGGCGTCGACATACCTTCCCCGACCGCAGCAAAGCACAGAGAAGCGAGACAACTACCATCTTAGCCCATATCGAAGCCCTTGGAAATGAAAGCCTCCACCACTGAGCTGCGACGCTTACGAGTGTAGCGGGACACCTTCGGTGGCTACACTGTACCGTATGCTAGATCACATTCAGTAAAGCTCTGGTGATTAGGTAACGGTGTGCTGCAAAGGAACGATTGCGGGTGCGGTAGCTGGTTCGATAAACACAAATAACTGGAATTGTGTGGTAAATACTCGTATTTAATCTGCATTTGATCATCGGATACACTCCTCTGCAACTGCTGGCTAATCTGAGTGCCAATGCTTTGACCAAGGAATGCAGTTAATGCAATTCCTTAAAAAACCAAACCACCAGACGCTCAACTTCCAAGGAACCAAGAGCATGCGGTACGATACAACCTGCAAAAACACACATCAGTCTGATATTGCCCAATAAGGGCCGGTGGAACGGAGCAGAGCGCCGCGTCCTACTGTGTCGCTGCTTCATCAGCTGACCCATGAGTGGGGTTACGTGCCCGAGGTACAGAGCCGCGGTCCGCTACCTGGGTCGGGCACTCCCGGCGACCGACGGATCGAGCGCTGCGTGACCGAGGCTTGCTCGCGCAGCACCACGCGCAGTGACCGAGGTTTGCTCGCGCAGCGCCACGCGCAGTGGCCAGCGTTTCATGACCAGCGTTTCACACATCTTCCTCTCGCCACGCTCATTTAGAGGGTATAAGGACTCGGGCGGAGCGGGAGGGGTACCATCAACGGTTCTCCCAAGGTTCTCAAAGCACCCAGGTGCTCGAG